AATGCAAAGCAATGCCAGAACACATGGGCGAAATCTCCGGTGAGCCCCAACAACGCCAACATTCGGGGGAGTGTGTGGAGCTCATTATGTGAAGCCTATATGAGATATAATAAGCCCGATGTACAATCTTGAACTAAATCAAACGGTCTCTTAGAGAGACCAGAAAGCGAAAAGGCAAGTCCAAAATATTATCCCAGTCATCCTCATTTAATTCCGGAACATCCCGTGACCATCTCCCCCACAGGCCGCCCAAAGCGGGTAGGGAAACCCTTAACAGGTGTGAGTACAGATGGGAAGTAGGCTTCACCGAGCAATCAGATAGCAAAACCTCTTCCAGGGCTGATTGAAAGAGTTGAAGGGTAGAAGGAGGGAATGTAAGTTCATATTTTTACAGTGACATTTATTCTATTATATTTTCCTAAGTTTTCTTTTCTTTTTAGTTAGGTCTAGCTAGTTAATTTCTTTTAAAAAAAAATGTTGCCGAACCTCGGTGATATTTGATCTCTTTCATGATATTCAGGTATATCTCCACCTCTCAAAAGCTGCCTACCCCTGCTCTCCGGAGTATTTAAAAGATTTTGGAGAAACTGTCCACTTTTTGACATACCTCTCCAATTCTTCTGAATTACCCTCTCAATATGTATCTTGGCATGGTGGGAATTTCCTGGCACACGATAGAAGTGGCAGGTGGTAGTGGGGGGCGCCAGATAAACGTTTGCATAGGGGCCCACAAGCTTCAAGCTACACCTCTGCAAACAGCTAAGTACATAAGGTTTTTTTTTTACCTGCCCGGGACTTGTCATTTTGTGCCTGGCCTGATGGTACAGCCAAGATGGCCACCTTACTTTTCACTATGTAGTCACCGCCTTGCCTTAAATGGTGGCTGGATAGAAGAATGCTTTACTCACGGCAGGAGAAAAGTATCTTCAAAAACATGGCTAAGCTGCATTTTTGCAAATGTATTTAGGCACATCAAGCACTTGGGCATTTATTTAGTTCATTGGCCAGAGTATTAATTTATTCTAGCCATTGAAATGAAAAAATGCTCAATTGCTAAGCGTGCCTAGCATTTACACAAGTTTACCTGTGTTTAGGCACGTCAGGCATTTTTTCTGCCAAAACTCTCCTCATTTGGACATACAAGCAATGTTTTTTTTCTGCTTCTCAACTCCTGTCAATGGCTATAGTGTGCAAGGACACATAGGCTAACATGGAGGGGCATTTAGACGCATACATACAGGAGGTGTGTTCCTCATCAGATCACCAGAAAAAAAAAAAAAAAAAAAAAGTTCAAACGCCTGTAAAACCAGCATTTTTAAGCTCAAGTGTGCATGAGGCCTAATTTGCTTTTGTTTATCTTACTGTCAGCATATGTGCATTCAGGACAACTTGACTGGCTCAGAGCACCAGAGTAGAGAAGCTTCCAGTCTAGTGCTATGGTACACTGGATAACAAGAGGAGAATCTTAAAGTAGAACTATAGGCAATTTTTTTTTTCATTTTGAATAGAGCACAGGAGGGTTATAACCCCTGTCTGATTTATTGTATTTTGTCTGTGTCCCATTGCAGAGATTTTCCTACACTTCCTGTCCCATAGCCAAACAGGAAGTGAAAGGAAATCCCTGCAAATTAAGAGAATTCATTGGGGAGCCCCAGGTCACCAGAACTAATGTCCACAATGGAAGATTTCCCCTCTATTACTTTTCTGGGGAAAGCCCAAAATCTGGGATTTTCTTTTGCTTTCATTTACAGATAACAGTAAACAGGACAAATAGAGAAGATGAATCTAATTAATGGGGGCACAGACAGCAACATTTTATTCATTTATTTATTTCAGGTACTTATATAGTGCTGTCAATTTACGCAGCGCTTTACATATATTTTGTACATCAAGGGGCGTACAATCTAAATAAAAACTGATCGGTGTACTAATTCCTCTCCACTCCAAAAACATATTTTGCAGCTTACCAATTCTCAAATGTGATGCCTGCATTCATTTTCCTTTTTAGACTTTCTTCTATTTTCAAGTGGTCAGTAAGTCTGTTGTTTTTCAAAAGCACAAGCTCTCCAGCAGACTATATCAGTTTACAGGAATGATACAGACCATCTAACACTAACAGGGGTGCTTAAAGCGATACTAAAGTTCGCTTTTTGGGGGGGAATAACAATTATGTTATACTTACCTGCTCCATGCAGTGGTTGTGCACAGTGCAGCCTGGATTCTTCTCTTCTTGGGTCCCCTACTGGCGCACCTAGCTCCTCCTTTTTGTTAGGTGTCCCCATAGCAGGCAGCTTGCTATGGGGGCACCCGAGCAGGCGTGTTCCCAAGCTGCTGCTCTGTGTGTCCATTCACAAATGGGAACCGCTGCTGGGCCCCACCCCCTCTCTCTCATCATTGGCTGACTGCCTGTGATTGAGAGCAGTGCGATCCATTGGTGTCTCAGCCAATGGGGAGGCAAAGACCCGGGACAGCCGAGGCTGTTGGGCACATTGATAGATCGCGATGGGACTCAGTTAAGTATTGAGGGGGCTGGGGGCACTGCTGCACACAGAAGGTTTTTTTACCTTCACGCATAGAATGTATGAAGGTAAAAAACCTTGAGCCTTTACAACCACTTTAAAATGATCAACTTTTATTTTTTTTATGTAAAATCTTCATTCCACGAGGAAAACTGTTTGCTGCAACTGATTATAAAGTGCGAACCGGAGTTTGGCTACAATTTGTTAGTGTATTTAAATCTGATAATACATTTAACACTACCCTACCCCCCAGACTGACAATGCTGTCTGCTTTGCTTCCTGTGCTCATTAATCCAGAGTTGTGTTTCATGAATACAGGAGGTGAGTTCCTGGCCAGATCACCAGGGGAAAAAAGCCAAAGAAAAGAAAACTGCTGCAGCCACCACATCTACTGACTGGTAAGCTGCAACATAATATATTTTTGGTTTGTGGTTTAATATCACTTTATGAACACATAACTGCATTAACAATCATTTTTACATTTGCTTGGAGTTCAGATTTAAATTCCCCTTACCAAGCTTTTTTGGTTTCTTCTGCAAAAACACACTATTTTGGTGTGGTAAACCGCATGTGATTCGGACTGGAATCACACTGCATTCCTGTTCAAATCATATGTGATTCTTTGCAGTGCAATTTGAGCTTTTCATTTTGCATGGAAATCACACCGCATCCGCACGAAAGATGCAGGAACCTTTTTTTTCTGCACTGGAATCGGATCGCATGGGTGTTCACAGCCAGTGAGTCAGCCAATCACACTGCTTTTTGCAAATTGTTTTTTGGGGTGTCGTAACAGACATCCACAGAGCATGAGCGGAGTGTGATTGTGATGTGGTGTTGTGAATCCAGCACCGCATCAGTGTGAAACGGCACTTAATCAGAATGATCTTCAAATTTGAAAACCTACCACACTTACTTTCTTGAATTCTGTGAAGTACAATCACTATGCCCTGTGAATATGCACTGCTATGTCACCCATTTCCCAGAGCCTGCCCACTGACCTACTACTATACTACAGAAGTACTGACAAGAAGTTTTCAGTGGGCACAGCCAGTACACAAAACACATCACACGCAGCATCACTGCTTGCAGTCAGCAAGGTACCATGGGATATGTAAACCAAAGAAATGAGCAAAGGAGAAGCCACAAAGAATGTAGGGAATTCAGGAAGTTGTTGAATACGATGGCCAGTAAAGAGGCAGCAGCTACAACATAAAAGCTTATATTGGATTGCGAAGAATAAGGCTCAGTTCACACTAGCTTTGTCAGCAGGCGTCAGACACGTGTTTGGGAAGCGTTTTTAACGCTTCTTAAATGCCTATAAAAATTCTGCACATGGCAGTACACAGTGCTGTTCACACTGAAGTATTAGCGTCATGGCAAAACTGACGCCTCATGTCGAGTCAGGAGGAGCTGAAGCCTCCCATTCAAGTCTATGGTGCCACTCGGCAAATGCCTGGCAGGTTGCGACGTGGCTGCAGAGCGTTACTACCATTTAACTTCATTATAGGAATTTGTGGTGCAGTTTTATTGCTTGGCAAACACCTATCAACTGCCTAAAAACCGTGCATGGGGTTGTTTGGGCAGCGTTTGGGAAGCGTTTGAGGAGCATTAAAAACGCTTCCCAAACACCTGTCTAACGCCTGTCTAATGCTATAGGGGTGTTTGGCAAGAGTTAGAAATAAAGTCAAGTGTGAACGAGCCCTAACAATCATTTGTATTGCTACTGCAATGCCAATGTTATTTAAGGAAAGTGTATGCTGTGGCTATAGATCTCGGAGTTCCACCTTTTTTTTTTAAAGTGCCTCTATTTACATTGACCTGTGTTATAAAGCACGATTTGGATAAAAAATTTTTTTTTTCGTATTATAAATACCTTTACATCATGTTTCAGGACTGCAGTTCTGGTCCCGGCTGCCTAGGCGATGACGTGTTAAGGCGAATCGCAAAGTCTCCTGGGATGTCGGGTCCTGTATCCCAGGAGTCCTTTCGGTTCCTAGTAACTGACTATCGCGGTACTTCGAAACAGGAAATGGCGTGAATGGGAGGAGTTTGGCACAATTTTACCGGAGTCCTATGTGGGGAAGAAGTGTAAGTTGTGTGCTGCAGACTGTGCTGTTCTATGTTAGCTGGATATGCAGAGTGTGTAGGTATAGCAGCACCAACTCCAGGAAGTAAAGACTTGCAGGCTTCAGATGCCCTCAGCCATCATGGCGCCTGCCTGCTTCTAAGATCCAGGAAAAGTTTAACATATTTAAAAGTAATTACAAGGCTATAATTAATAAATATATCCAATTTATAATGTTAATGGAAAGGCAATCCTGGGTCTGCTTTTAAAAAAAAAATGTATTCTTGAGACTGGAGCTCCGCTTTAACCGCCTCCCACCCGCCATATAGTACAATGACGGGCGCAAGATGGTTCTCTCGTTATGGGAGGACGTCATATGACGTCCTCCCATTCTAACCACGCATGCGCGGCTCCGGGAGCATGCAGCACAGCGATCGGCGGTACGCTGTGTCCCTCAGACACAGCGGATCACCAATCAACAGAAAGAGCCGAAGATGTCGGCTCGGTCATGTGATCAGCTTTGTCCAATCACAGCTGATCACATGTAAACAGGGAAATGCTAGTTATCGGCATTTCTCTCCCCACGAGCTGTCACGCTGACAGCTCGAGAGGAGAGGAGAGCCGGTAATCGGCATTCCTCGGAGGGGACATGTACACTGATCATCAGAGCACTGATGATCAGTGTGCCCTGATGATCTGTGTAGCCCCAGCAGTGCAACCTGTCAGTGTCCATCAGTGCCAGCTGTCAGTGCTCATCCATGCCACCTACCAGTGCCCATCAGTGCCTCATCAGTGCCACATTTCAGTGCCTACCAGTGCATATCAATGCCACATATCAGTGCCCATCTGAGCTGCCTTTCAGTGTCATCCATCATCCATCAGTGCCAGTCAGTGCTGCCTATCAGTGCCAGTCAGTGCCGCCTATCAGTGTGCATCAGTGCCGCCTATCAGTGCCTGTCTGTGCTGCCTATCAGTGCCGCCTAACAGTGCCAGTTAGTGCCACCTATCAGTGGCAGTCAGTGCTGCCTATCAGTGCCACCTATCAGTGCCATATATAAATGCTGCCTTTCAGTGCCCATCAGTGATGCCTGTCAATGCCCATCAGTGCCACCTACCAGTGCCTCCTTATCAGTGCCACCTATCAGTGTCCATCAGTGCAGCCTATCAGTGCCCATCCCTACAGCCTCATAAGCGCACACCAGTGAAGGAGAAAAATCACTTATTTACTAAATTTTATAACAAAAACTAAGAAAAAACTTTTTTTTTTTCAAAATATTGAGTGGTTTTTGGTTTGTTTAAGTAAAAATAAAAAACCCAGAGGTGAATAAATACCACCAAAAAAAGCTCTATCTGTCACAAAAAAATTATAAAAATGTCATATAGGTACAGTGTTGCATGATCGCACAATTGTCATTCAAAGTGTGACAGCGCTGAAAGCTGGAAATTGGCCTGGGCAGGAAGGGGGTATAAGTGCCCTGTAGGCTAGTGGTTAAGTATCTCTACAGAAACCTTTTTTCTTTGTTGATATACAGGAAATACAGCTAGGGTTACAAGGTTTCTCTTAATAAAAACACTAGGACTGATCATTTAATCAGCGGATAGATCTTCCCCCTTGGCACTCAGTTTGAGGAAGGTGCTGTACGTCAATCACACATCTCAGTATCTGCAGAGGCAGGGAATGACCTGCAATGATGTTTCCAAAAATCTTGTAATGCAAAAAAAATTAAACTGGACAGTTGTGAAAGTCGTCGTAGTTTCCCACAGCAGTAGAGTTCCACTTAAAGGACAAAAGGTATACAGTCATCAAGTCTCTATATGGATGATGCCTGGAAGGTTTTCTGACTCTCTCTGGAATGCTTGTTAATAGCTGACTTCTCCCAATAGTTTCTCTATTTTATATCAGGGTGGGAGGTTACTGTACACAAAGGAGAAAAAACATCTGAATATATTAACTACCAGACCTCTGAAACCTTTCAGTATCTGTAGGTGACGTGAGTTTTAAAAAAGCTAGTTTGTACCTAATTATTGCAATTGCATTACTTCGTTACAAGCTTGAAAAGTCTCCATGTGGGTTGCACAACACAAGCGCCACGTGAACGCCTACATATACCACACAGTTCATATTAAAAATAGTAATGGCACTTCGCTCAATATACACCCACTGTGCACAATTAACATTACAAAACAAAGTCATAGAAAGAAAAACTTTTCTCAAAAGCAACAAAGCACATGTTCTATAGTCCTCCTCTACTATGTGCACACTTTATTTATAAACCAATAAGAAATAATTAGTCTCCATGCTAACACTATTGGGTAGGCTGTCATTTCACCAATCTAGTCACTGTAGCACAGGCCACAGGGACTAGTTTGCCTGAGAAAAAAACAATGAGCTCATCTGTGGTGTCATAGTTAGCAACCTGACCTCTGGAAGGTTTTACCCCCTTCATGACCAGGGCATTGTTTTTGCTATTCAACACTGTGCTGTTTTAACTGGCAATTGCTTGGTCATGCAACACTGTGCCCAAATGAAATTTATATCATTTTGACACAAATAGAGTTTTGTTTTGGTGGTATTTAATCACCACTGGGTATTTTATTTTTTGCTATATATATATAAAAAAGTACATACAATTAGAAAAAAACAAAATGTTTTTCTTAGTTTCCATTATAAAATTTTGAAAACAAATAATCTTCTTCTTCATAAATTTAGGCCATAATACACTCTGCTACATTTCTTTGTTAAAGATAACCTAAATCAGTGTATATTATTTAGTCTGTGGGAGTTATAGAGTTTACAAACTATGGTGTGTGTGTGTATATATATATATATATATATATATATTTTTTTTTTTTTTTTTTTTTTTTTTCCCCCTCACTATTTTTTTTTTTCATACAGTCACCAGTGCAGTACAGCGTCATCATATGACTGGTGCAGCGATGATCAGGGATACTGACTGGTGAAAATGTTTTATTCAATTTTGTAAACTTATTTTTTTTTTTTACAATTTTTTTTTTTTTTTTTTTTTACATACTGTCATCAGAGTTGTTCAGTGTCATCATAGTGGGGGCCAATCACAGCATCACAACAGTAAGCAAGCTTTCAGTTTTGCTTACATTGTAATCATGTGATTGCTATGATTAGCCACAGCAATCACATGTTACCTTGGCCACCTTGATCCCCTGTGTTCACTGGGCACAGAGGTCTCAGGACCCCATGGGACTCACCACTGCACATGTGTGCACCGGCATACCAGTAGGTCGTGGTCTCTGCAGCTGCTTCCCGCTCGCAGTATGTGTACTGTAGGCAGGTGGCAAGTGGTTTAAAAGACGTGTACTTTCAGAAAATGTACACTAACAGTACTTAGCTCTACTGAGCTAAATTTCAGTAGGAGAGCCAAGGTCTACACATCACTACTGGTCATGTCTGTATAGTAAGCCTTCGAAAACTTGCATCGGGACATCTCCCAAATTTAGAGTACTAACACATGTTCTGCTGAGGTAAGTAAATCGAGTGGGTGGGGATTTTAGTGTAGTTTAGCTCTAAAGGGCTAGGGAAGGTGGATCAGTGTACATACCAAAGGATAACTGCACCTTTTGTTAACGACGTATCCGGTAAGTCACCGATCTTTAGGTGGTTGCACCGGGATGATGCCTCTCAATTGCTATTACAAGCAGTGGGGAGGGGATGCCCCCCAAGCCCCCCCCCCTTTGCCGCCTTCTGACGCTTTCACGGGATCTCCCACCCATTGGGAGTCCCGATCAAATAGCTGGCTAATCAGAGAGCTGAACAAAAATCAAATCCACTTTGTTCAGCTAAGTTAAATAGTAAGCTGGAAGCGATCACCTGACATCACTTTTGGTGTACTTGGAAACAAGTAACGCCATTTAAAAAAAATGAAAGCAATCAATCACACGGATCTTGTTGTGATTGAATACTTTTAACGGCAGAGGAGAGATCTGTGGTCTTTTTGACCCCAGATCCCTCCATAAAGGGTACCTGTCACAGGCCTATTGCTGTCTCAAGGGATGTTTACATTCTTTGTAACAGCAATAAAAAAAATGTTTTCTTTTTTAGTAAGTGCCCCCGTGCTTGCGCGAAAAGTCAAACACACGCGCCAATCCAGCATGCATGCAAACAGTGATCGCCCCACACATCTGAGGTATCACCACGAATGTAAGATCATGGGCAGTAATTCTAGCACCAGACCTGATTTAAAAAATATAAACAATATTTGGGGGTTATAAGTAATTTCCTAGCAAAAAACTGATTGCTACATGTGAACAAAAAGTGCCAGAAAAAGCCTGGACCTTAAGTGGAATGAATGAATACTGCAATGAGCCTAGCATACTTATAAATTTTCAATCTGAAAGCTATACCATGTGTCCACTAAGATTTTGACATGGTCTGCCTAGGTTAACACTGTTGCTAAAATCAACCAAAATATGGCTGTTTGTACCATCACAAACTGATCATCAATGTTCTTTTAGAGGAGTAACCACTTGACCTCTAGTAAACAGGAAGAACTATCCTGTGCTCTATAAGTTCCAGCTTTCAATTTACTTGAGGAAACTCAACCAACCAATCAGCTAGGTACACATGGGAACAGAGGGGAAGTCATCTGTTTGAAACTTGACATTTTTGGCGATTTGTCTTCCCAGTTCAACCATGAATGACCCTATAAAGAAACTTAATCTGTGCTGATCAAATAATACATTTGTAAATATAGCACTCCAAAGCCAAGGCTAAAACCACTAATTAATACAGTTATGTATTCATGCAAAATTAGTATTGTTCGATGCAGCTAGAGTAGGAATTTAACCTGGTACCAGCCTTCTGTAATCCACTGTAAAGCAACAATCAGATTGGGAGAGAAAAGCCAGCACTCCAAGCCAACCAAAATCTGTTGGGCAAATGACAAAAAAGACGTAGCTGTGCTGTCTGGTAGGTTTGTGTGGATCATAAGATTGCTGTACGGAATTACAAGTCCTTTGGCAGCTAAAGACAGTTTTTATATACAGTATATGCGTTTCAACATTGTATCACTTGCCTGGAGTTCAGCATTTAATAAGCCAAATCATGTAAAATAAAGTCTTACCTCTCCAAGAACTTCAATGATCTCTCCAACTTTAAGTTCAAGTTCATCTTCATTCTGAGGAAGATAGCTAAAGGCGACTTGACACCTCCTCCTCCTTGTACGTTCACCTGTGAGTATATAATAAGAAAGAATAAAATCAAAGTCACCAAAGCTGAACGTACTTGAATGGAACATTCTCAGCAGATAGGCTGGGTTTTTATTAACATTTTGTGGCCTTAGTATTACTATTACCAAGAGGTAGCCTGACTCACTGTGATAGCCCAAAAAGTTAGCTACAAGATCCTGTGATATCCTGAAATGCAGGTAAAAGAGTTCAAGAGACACATGGAAGCCTAGATACAGTATAACCAAAGTTTTACAATACAATAAATGCAAGTATTAAAGTGCCGTTATCCTTTATTTGGCTCCTTTCCAGGTGCATACCTACCTTTATCTGATGGCTGCAACCTACCACAGTGTTTACATTCATTATGGAAATTTTCAGTGAACTGCCCATATCTGCGCAATAGATCCCCATATACTTCTAAGGGCCATCTCCTGAGGCAGTGCAGAGCTCCAGGTTCCAAGAATTATGCCATATATTTGGGACCCTTCACACTAACCCTCTCTGTATCCTTAACTCCTTTTCTGCCACAGCTGTTTTTGCTTTTTTTGCACACATTTAAAAAGATCATTTTAGGCCTAAGGAGTATATAAAACCCCAAACATATTTTTTCTAAAAGCAGTCACCCTACAGAATAAAGCAGCAGTAGTTCCAGTTT